CTCAGATCCAAGCTCTGCGTATCTACAACTGTAGACTGAAGTACACTGTAGACCATAAGTCGGGTCTAAATACGAATTGTTGAACTTGCATGCATACTTTGACATGTGGAGAGATGATCATCAGCCAAAGCTTGCAGTTTACAGACGTACGAGATAGGCTAATCAATTCCATCGGGAACGTAGGCCGTAGAAATTCTATCTACTCGATGATGGTAGAAGTGATTGATCCCACTGCGGCCAGTAGAACCACTTCTAATCGATCGGAACCGGCGGCTATCAGCCATTGGTCATTAGGCAAAGGTTGCAGTGAATAGTACCAAATTGATAGTATTCTGGGGCAGATATGCCATTCCGCGGCTGATATGCATTGCCCGTTAGATCATGATAATGATTCAATCATTACCAGGTAATCCGAGTTGATCACTCCAGAGATGAGAGTTACGATAGCTCTGCTGATGAATCACGATGGTACATTCAATGTACTACATTAAGTGTATGAGTGTTTAGTTAGTTGGCATAGCGGCCCCGAGGAGTCGATTATCATCCATTGATATTATCAACTTTTGGTAATATCAACTCTTGGTATATCAACAGTTGATATTATCCCTACGCACAATCACAAAACGTGCTATCGCGGTCGCTCAAGGTACCAAGTTGGCATCGCCAACGGGGGGTAGACTCACTCGATCGATCCCAAGCGATTCTGCGGATCTCGATAATTCGATCAATTTCTCCATGTGACTCACCAATTCGTTGTGACAACAACTATGGATGGTGTTGGTCTTGTTATCACTGATAACTTATCAGATGGCGATTTGATATATTCATTCTTCTATGATGGGAGTTCTATAGAGTCTCGCATAGTTCTGATGCGGAATGGTTACCATTCAATGGTAAGGCCAGCTCAGTGTATTCGCAGACAGCAGAGGATCCTCTGCTAATGCAGAGATATAGTAAGAACAGAAGGATATCCCACTCAGCCATCGATGCTGTGTGATTAACTCGCTTCCTAGCAACAGGAAGTGTTACTCGTCGTTCGCATTCGGATTAGCTGATTAAGCTTGGGCAGCGATATGATGATATGATCGACATCGAAGTATCTTTGTGTCCCATGTGGATAGGTTGAGAAGGACAAGCGTTTTCTTTGGGAAGGCGTGCAAGATGCACATAGAAGCGAGGAGATGGGGATGCTGAGGTGTTACTATAGTCCGAGAGTCTCACATATACTTCAACGCTGATAGCAGGTTCTCTAGGAGGGCGAGAAGGTGATGATAGTAGGGCTGAGCGGCTAGCTTCTACGTAGCGGGAGTAATGAAAGTAAGGAGCCTGAATAGCTCGATAGAATAGTCTGACCTTTTTTGCTGCTTTCTTTACGAGCATAGATTGTACTGCAGGTCGCGCAGAGCGGGAACTTCGCATCCTGAGTGACCAGTTTAGAATGGGTTATTCTGAACGAAGTATCTGAGGTGAATTATCTAAGGTGACATTCACGTACAACTTGGTTGAATCAAGTTTATCGTCTTCAAGACGACGTCTTGTGATAATTTCACAACCAATATGGTGGCGAGCTTGTTTGGTCGAACCAAACACGGTTACCAAGTTCGAAAGGGTTGAGGAATCTGATAATTCGGGTTATATTTGAGTAAGACTGACGTCTAGAAGATATCAGGATGGGATGCAACCGACAAAGAGAATAATAATACATCTCCATGGAAAGGTCGGAAGCTCCGAGGTACCAGGATAGATATACATTGGTCATAATATTTCCGGCCGGAAAATGGAGGCATGAGACGAAGGCGTTTTTTCTTACACAACAATTATTGTTGAACAATATGCCGCTGCTACCAGGATCACCGATCAGCTTATGAGGAGATACGAGGGCGAAACCCATATAACCGTTAGAGTGCGTAGAAGGGTTCATATCGACGTGTGATAGCGCGATCATGAAAGTTCGTTGGGGACAGACAAGGGCCGACCTTATCATAACCTGCAATCATTGCAGTGCAGTGGCTGAAAAATCCCATGCGACAACACCGTTATATTCATAGATTAGAGTCGATATTGTTAAGAAATAGGGCGATGAGAAATTTTTATGGCCTACATCAAGACGAGCACCATGGATTTTGCGACGAGCAGAAAGGACGACCATTGGTACAGCGGAATCGCGGTGATGACGATTGTAATCCATGACCTGAGAAGAGTGTTATCCAACCAGCCATGAGATTTCACCCAACGAACCACATTCCTCAGTGCGCCTCCACCCTCCGCATGATGTTATCAAAGGGTAAGGAATTTTATCGTTCACAATCGGTGCATTATAAGGCTTGGCCGAGGAGCCAGAGTATATTCCGAGATTTTTAGGAGATCGCAAATCACCGCAAGAGTTGTCTTAACGAGGGTGAAGATTGGCCGGAGGCCTTAATCGGGAACTCTAACATGCGCGGCGCATGATGCGCCAGGGATAAAGTTTATCATCTTGTTATAATTTCACATCCAATTTGGTCATGAACTCTTTCGGTCGGCATCCAATGGCTGAACGAAACACGGAACCAAGTTCGAAACAGAATTGAAATCTGATATTACTAAAGAGCTAGATCAACTGTCTGAACGATCTCATAAGGAGACCAGAAAAGGTCAGACACTTTCATGGATAAGGCAGACACCTCGAAGCAACACAAAAGCCATATTATGGCCGTAAGGACACAGGCAACGAGACATGAACTGGTTGCCCTAAGTGAGCTCACAATTGTGTCGCTCAAACGTCAGGTGGCGGGTTGGTACAGGTGATACTGATAGTGACTGTCTAGTTCGCCGATGCGAGCGTGCGCTCACGACGGTCTAAGAGCTTCTTGGCGTTCCTTACACCCTTGACTGATAATAATCTTGAGGATGAAGGATCGACGGGAGTAGTCTACCGAGAGGGTGGAACTTGATTCTCAGCAACACATGAGGCCGAGCGAAATGCTGCCCACCTTTTTGACTCCTCTAGGAGGTTCGACTCCATCACTCCAGGAGCGAACGTTGAAGATGCTTTCGCTGGGTCTGATATACTAACAATTCAATGGGGATAAGACGGAGATCCAGTATTCACCTTGAACTAATCTCATGTCCAGGGGCCTTCTCCGCAATGTTTGAAAGGTCTAGGTCAGTGCGAACCATAGGTTCGGGCGGTTCACTTGAAGACATCGATTGAATGATAGACTGCTGAGCATCAAATGGATGAGCGAACCACAATAGGTGGATGAGACTAGGATCGAATAGTGGCAAGTCGAGCTTGACCATGGCTGCCTGAGACGGGCAAAGCCAACTGCATTAAGACACTGTACAGTGTGGTAATAGGAAGCAATCAGCAATTTAATGTAGCCTATGTTATTGGGATCGGTTCACTTCGTTGTGAAATTGAAGCAAGATAATCCCGTCTGGTAAAGCCGATAATATAATCACCATTGGTAATGCTACTGATACGAATCCTGACACTATCGATAAGATATTCTCCCAATACCACGGCGATATCAGCACCCACCCCGTTTTTCTATTGCACGAGATTCACCCTGAGTCTTGGTGAATGGTCCATGACGACTCACCTCGGACAGAATCTTCTTGCACACCTCATCAGCTTTTTGCGAAACCATTGCTGAGTCCTCATCGACGTGCTTGTGGCCTCCGATTGAGTGCTCCGGCAGACTTGAGCGACGGGCACTGCCCTCACCACATCGTGCGGAGCAGTTCCCAAGAGAAATCAATTCAACCCCTGTCCGAAAGGATGATTGAACAAACGTCTCCAAAAGAGTCCTGAATAAATAATAATTCCACTAGGCCATTAAGCCACTTTTACTCACTTGAGCTTTTGCCTATCATCTCGTCTGATATGATACCACTCTCCTGATCGGGTCTTGAAAGTGTACGAAGGGAGGAGTATCCAACCATTATCGGCGATCCACAGAATAGCATCGGCGACGAGGTCCACTTCTTCCTGGGTCATTGTGAAGTGCACTCCAATTCGAACGAATCCAGGCTTGAAAATCTCGGATAATGTGCAGCCTTGAACATATTCAGAGCATTGGAGGAGAATGCAAATAACCTACCGACAGCTTCTTCGAACTTGGTGGCGTTTTCAGCACTGAGACCGAGAATGGTTTCCGCATACGGTCCAGCACAAGCGCAGCCACCCCTAGCTTGAATGCCAAACAAATCGTTTAGGACAGCCGCAACAAAGTTATAATGGAGGTATCTGAAGGATACAACTCCCAACTACTGCTATTCGTTGGTGAGTGATATCTTACAGGCCGTGTCCTGTGGAAGGATTGCTGTGATTATACAAGATATTAAAGGATAAAATACCAGCACAGTGAGAACGATCCTAAGACGATCGTCAAAAGCGGTAGAACGAGTATAGCTTGCCTTGGGCCCGAGTATATGAATCTTGCTGTGGGACTGAAGCCTTTTATATAAATGATCGGCCATTTTATGCTCAGCAGCAGCAATCTTCTCGATACCGATCGTCCTATGAAGATGGTAGACGATACCTGCTCTGATGCATCCGAGGATGTCGGGGGTACCTCAAGAAATATCGAGTGAAGAGTGAGCTAGGTAGAATATAGCTCACCAGCTTCCTCGCGCTCTTCGAAGTTAGCCAGATACCGATGACCTCTCTGACTCACGTATAGAACGACGCCTCCGCCGCAGACAGTCGGCACGGCGTTAGTCTGTCGTTTCTTCTTACACAACAAGAGGCCGCTGCTACCGGGACCACCGATCAGCTTATGAGGAGATACGAATGCGAAATCGATATAACCGTTAGAGTGCGTAGAAGGGTTCATATCGACCTGTAACAGCATAATCATGGAAGCTCGTTAGGGACAGAGTCCGACAGATAAGGGCCGACCTTGTCATGAGCTGCAATGGCTGCCAAGTCCCATGCGACAACACCGTTATATTCATGGATCAGAGTTGATACTGTCGGTATCTGTTAAGAAATCACCTCAGGAGAATGTATCTCGCCCTACATCGAGACGCGCACCACAGATATTGCTACAAGCAGAAAGAACGACCACTGGTATAGCGGAATTATGGTGATGACGATTGTAATCCATGACCTGAGAAGACCGTTGTCTCATCTTGGTCGACTTCAGCCAACAATCCACCTTCTTCAGTGCTTTGAAAGCACTGCTTTCTCGAGACCCTCAACAGAAGCAGTACCCTTGACTGGGCATAGAGGTAGCGTCTGAGAGAAAAGGGGACGGCTGATGTGCAAAGGATGGGTGAGCAGCTACCTCGAGTTCAACTTCGAAATCTGCGGATTCGTTACCTTTGAAGCACATAAGAAATGGCACCAGAGCTAACAAAGGATGATTCATGATGACCTTTGCATGGATCTGACCTGTGGGTGCTGGGCGGATGAGTGGATAGTTCGAAGCCAGCTCTCTGAAGGGGAGTAATGAGCTGTGATGAGCAGCCGGATCTACAATCAAAACCTGAATGGCAACGATCAAAGCTAATGTCTTTGTTAGAGATGAGCGGACCGCCCGACGGAGGCCTCTCGGAGATGCATCAGTAGCAAAGATTCGACTGCGGCACATGATTCCAATGAACCTGTCGATAGCTGCCGTAGCTCCAGCACCACAGAAGATGACTGAATGATCAAGCATGTGACCTGGCGCCTGCGACCGGTGCACTTACCGGAGTCTTCGGCAGTACAATTGAAATATTTACGAATCTCCTCCCTTGCGTCTTCGCGGTAACGCATCGTTTGACGAGCAGTTGCCGAAGCCATGGAGTGAGTGTTCGCGTATCTGCATGACTTGACGACGGCGGATTCAGCCGAGATGACTTCCACGTACGTAGGACAGACGGTGGAGGATATGAATTCCTCAACACTAGTCAGACTTCTGCCTGAAGCAGTATAATCGCAGTATCTGGACTGAGGCTCTTGATTGCTCGAGTGACGGTTTCGTCACATCATCCTTCGCGTGGAGTCGTCGAAGGCACGGGAATTCTCTCGTGCTCCCCGATACATTGCTCTCTGAGAGAGTTCACAATAGCTTCATACTCAGGCATGGCCGAGGAGCCGGAGTAGACTCTGAAGTTCTTAGGAGAACGCAGTTCACCGAGGTTCATAGCAAAAGTTGCCTGAATGAGAGTAAACATGAGCCGAAGGAGCTATGCCTATACGTGAACTCTGGCATGGGCCGAGACTATATCTTTGGAGGAGAGGCGACGAGACTCGTCGGATGGCGAAACCCATTCCCCCCGGCATCGATGAGCCATCGATGCCAGGGGAGACATATGAGAGAAGGCTGCGTCCCTGATGACTACGTCGTGATTGTTGTGTGCTCGATCAGTTGGTTCTTCACACTCCGACATCCACCTCACTTCGCGATCCATCAATCAGAATCGTTTTCATGATCTCGAGTCGAGATTCTCGACCGATCGCGTCGATGATTAGTTCATCTTCCAACATGATTAGTTCTAGAGCGTCACGCCCTGGGCGAGTCACGAGTACGAGCGAATGGAGCTGAGGGTGGCGTGATGGTCAAGCCTACGAATTGGGCAACACAGTTGCCGATGAACATTATTTGTAGGAGTAGCTGAGGCTCAGCTGTTGAGATTCGGACCCCTATTGGAGTTACTTAGAGGGAGAGTAAAGTGTTACGTGCGCAGGGCGACCCTCTTGCTGCTCCGGCCCATTTGGCGCGATTGCGCCACGCATTTGCTTAGCAAACGTGCAGTCGCAGGCAGACGTGCAAATTCCACGTGACGTGAAATCAGCACATTACATTGTAATGGTCGCTCACAGTACTTTACCCACCCAAGTATCGAACCCATTGTGCCACAAGCGTTTTAGCTCACCTAGATAGTTGAACTACATTAGCCTCAGATTACAAATTAACAACGCGACTTAAACGCAGTGAGACAAAACCGTAAAGCATTACTTTCTCAGTTCGACAGTTCCTGATTCCGTCACAATTCTATTCAGTGAATAGTATTCACACAATGGACTTAGCTCACTGCCACTGAGTCAGTGGACGGCTGAATATCTAATAAAACTCAAAAATTGAATTAGTCGTAGATCGAGCTATGCTCTGGGGCTGGAGCGTAG